TTAACAAGTTATTTTTTTAACTCTAGAAAAATAATAGAGGTTAGTTATAATTTTTTAATTTTTAATTAATTCGATTTAAGACAGTCACCTTTTATTAGAAGTTGATTTAGCAATCACTAGTCATGGTACCATGAGCTGGATAAAAAATTAATTTTAACTTAAAAAATTTATATATGTATTGCTAAGGTTTTAAGAAAATTTTATATGTGATTTGAAAATTTGATATATGTATTTAATAAAATTAATTGATAATTATATATATTAATAAATATTAAAAGAAGTTATTAACTATAATCAAAAACTAAAATGTAAAGCTAAAAGATAAATACAAATAAAGGAACAACATCTTGTATTTGTTATATTGTTTAATTTTTTTATTTAATTATATGTAAATATTTTTTATAGAAAAATAAACAAAACTAAACAAAAAAATAATTTGCTAGCATAGTTCTTTTTCTTCTTATTAATTCAACTTTACCCTACAACACGGTCTCTAGCATAGTATGTGTTTTGAATAAAATTATATTTGAATTAACTTGATGTGATATTTTTGAAATAGCACATCAGAACAAGACTTGATGGTCTTATTTAAAACCTATTTTGACTAAAAAAATTAAATTATTGTTCTTTTATTTAAAAAAATTAGGATGGCGATGTTTTTATCAACCATGTTAACTATCCAAGCCCTCTGCATGGGTCATGGATTCAATTGGATTTAACAAGTTATTTTTTTAATTAATTTTTTATTTAATTATATAATAAAAATAGACACGCAAAGAAAAGCGGTCAAATAAAATTTAAGATAAAAATATATCATTAAGGGCTATAACAAAAAAGTGCTTGTTAATATTTGAGAAATATGTTATAATCTTATTACAAAAATAAAAAGTAAAACTAAATTATAATTTATTATATAATACCCCAAATAAAATTTTAATTAATTAATCTTAATTTAAAAAATTTCGAGGCTGGTTTGACTTAAAAAAATAAAAATACTTCAAGATAGTGTGGTTTCACTTTATTTTAAAAAAAAATATTAAAACAATAATATTTTTTATTAAAATGAGGTAGCCTGATTAACCCCTGAAATCCAAGGCCTGAGGAACAAACTTCCTTGGATTCAATAATGTTTTTTTTAAATCTATCTTTTATTTTATTATAAAACACTAAAAGTAGACATTCAGAAGAAAGTGATCAAATAAAAATAAAATATATATTGATGAATTTAAATTTACGTTATAGAAAAAATAATTTAAAGAAAAAAAAGAGATTAGATGCATAGACTTAGGTGGGCTAGTATGACTAATCCATAAAATAAAAAGGTCACATGTCTGGTTTTTCCTCTCTCTTTTTTCATTTTTTTTCTTTGTCCAATTGCAAATAATATGTCATTCTCCTTTTTTAAAATAAATTAATCAAACGACACTTCATTTGAATGTCTAATTTCTGACTAGTAAATGAATGGTTAGAAAAACAAGGAGGTTTTCAAACAATTTTTAAAAACATTTAATAAACATTCTTATAATCTTAAAAAACCAATATTTCAACTCAAAAAACCTCTAAACTGATCCAAAAACACAAAATCAAGTTAGAAAAATTATTTTATCAGCCTTGATCTACTTTTCCCTACAATATAAAGGATAAATCATTAACGATAGGTTTTTTGACAAATAATAATTGTCTGTAATTTCATTGTTAAAAAAAACTAAAAAACAATATCAAATGATAAAATTGAAAACAAAATGAGATAAAAAAAAAAAGATTCTAATCCATGTTAGCTTTTCATATTTCATGAATAAAATAAAATAAAATATTATATAATGTTGCACAAATTAAAAATCTTCTAAAAACTAAAAAAAAAATTCAATCTCTATAAAAAAAAATTTAAAAAGAATCACATATAAATCATACAATCCTCTTTAAAATTAAACACACCTATTATCATAAAATAATAATCAAAATCTAAAAAAAAAGCTAAATAAACTGGAAAACAATCATAGAAAAAGGGTATTAATTAAATCATATATCAAAAGATTATTTTTAAAAATTCATATAAATTAAGGTATCAATTAAAAAAATATATCTTTCTTTATGAAAAAGAATCAAGTTAGGCTCAAAAGTTATGGCTCGCGCCTAAGCTTTTTATTGTTTTTAAGTTTAATAGGGTAAATGATGCATCGTCCACCCCAATCATTTCCAAAAAAAAAATAATGTGTTGTTTGCATCAACATGTTATCCACTTAGTCTTTAATCCAGCTGGTAGTGTGGCTAGAAAAATGAGGTTTTTCTTTTACCTATAAATTTATTTTCAACTCATTATTGACCAACAAAACTAAGAGATATTCTAAAAACCTTGTTAAATCAATCCATGGCCTCTAGAAACAGAAAAAAAACCGGTTTAAAAATCCAAAATCAACCTGAAATCCAAAAATATTGTCAAGTCTAGATATGTTTTTCTAGGTGTTTTTAAGATTAAAAAAAAATCTAATTGTAACCTCATTATCATATGAAACTATCTGATATAGGGGTGATTATTTTTTGTTTGGTTCAATTTTTACCTACAAAAATAACAAAACTGATTTTTTTTTATAAAAAACAACAGAAATTGGTTCAAACCAAATTGATTTTTTTTATAAAAAAAAATAGAAATCGATTCAAACCGACTAGTTTTGGCTCGATTCAATTATTTTTCAAAAAAACCAGCAAAAACCTGTATTGTGTTTTGGGACGTTTTTAGGCTTTCTAATGGGCTTTTTTGATGGGCTTATAATTAATGTTAATATTGTCTAATTTTATTACAAAATTCCAAAATATATTTAATTTTTTTGACATTGAATATTTGTTTAAATTACATTATTGGTGCCAATATTGTGTTCAATATAATGCAAGCCTTCCTACTATTTGTTTTTGGAGTAAGACTCTTACATCAAAGTTTAAATAACACACACTAAGTTAAAATTTAAATTACAAAGCATTGCCTTGAAAAGGGCATTAAAAAAAAACAATAACCTTATCATAAAACACTTCATACAAAAAATATAAATCTTCATTATGCAGCACATCATCCCAATCAAAAAATATATCAAGATTTTTGTGAGACATTATACCAACATCAACTTGATTACATGTTGACAATTGAGAAAAGTATTATGTGAGGCCAACTTAATCTACAATGTAGCAATCTAGAAGTTAAATGCAGAAACACATTATGCAAAATAAACAAAAATAAAAACATTGATGTTTGTGAAGAAAAAAAAAACTTTCCTACAAAATCAGAATGTAAATAAATATTACATAGGTTAATAAAAAAAGAATGAATCAGGAGTGAAAGATCCAAAACTATTTTGTTATATCTGAAATTCTTTTGGGCTCTTAATATATAATTAATTACATTTAAAAAAATTTATATGAATTCACTCAAAAGACATGCAAGCATCCATGCATATCGCTTCATTATAAAGTCTTTGGGAACATGACATCAATTAGCTAAAAAAAATAAAATTGAATGACTTCCAATGTCATACCCTAGTGGTTAAGCCAAGATTAACTTTCAAGTTGTTTGGATGATTACATCCATACAAGAAAAAAACAACCTAAAATTTTTTTAGCTAACATCAAAACGAACAGAGGATGATCTAGCCATGAAGTTTTGTACAATGATAGAGAAATTATTTTTTTTTATCAAGCTAAGAGTGTGAGAGATTGAGATTTAAGAGTGTAACAGATTTGTGAGGGCTAAGAGGTGGCTTGTAAGGGCTACAAATGTGAGAAATTAAGATTTGAGAGTTGTGAGATTTATAAGGGCTAAAGGGTGGCTTGTGAGAGCTATGAGTGTGAGAAATTGAGATTTAAGAGTTGTAAGATTTGTGAGGGCTAAAGGATAAGGATGACTGCTGGATACAAAGTAAGGAGATGCTAGAGTTAAAAATTAGAAAGTGTTTTTATATATTTTTTTTAACTGAACTGATTTGATTTGATTTTTTTGGTTTCAAGCTTATTAAACTAAAATCAAACTGAAAATTTTAAAAAAGATTCTAATTAGTTTTTTTTTTCACAATTTGATTTTTTTGATTATTTTTTTTAGTTTTCTTGATTTAATCAGTTTTTTAATTTTTTTTCACACCCCTAATCCAACACAAAAAACAGTTGTTTTGGTAGTTGAAATCATCACCGACAATAACTCTACATATATTGAAATTTGGTAATTTTCTCTTTCCTTCAACAAAAAAAAACTGAAAAAGATGAGAACAAAGTTTGTTATAAAAATAAAATTTTTGAAAATTACAAAGACAGGTAACCTAATATCTAAAAAAGATTGGGGACACAAAAAACTTCCAAAACAAACTTCAAACACGCCTCCTATTCTATTTGTTTTTTTCATTTTAGTCCTCTATCTTTCAATTCAACCCTCTCCCCTTAAAAAATATACAATTGGAGGCTAATTTGGATTTAATAGGGCTAAATCACACAAGATAAAAGTTTAAGGCCAAATTAAAAATTAAAAAAAAAAAAAACAATGCTACAATCAACAATGTTTTATAAAAGAGTGAACAGTGAAATATTGTATGAGTAGGCAACCCAGTTTGGTTAATTGGGCCAGTTCTCTTGTCGACGAAAAGCCGAGATCAAGCTGGAATTACACCTCAGCTGTGTAGAAACTAGCTTGATTCAAAACCAGTGAATTCAGTTCTGTACATATTGTTTGGATCACAGAACACAATATCTGCATCGCAAATGATGGAGTTGGCAATGACATTGGTAATGGATGAAACGGGAAAGGGGAAGTAGGTAAGAAAGAATGCATCTGAAGTGAGGGATAAGATCATGGATGCTGTTAACTTGAAAAAGATTTCAGGGGGCCTTCTGTCGAAGCCATGGATGAATTCTTGAATGCTTCATTGATGAAGCGAGAGGAGACAAGGAGAGGAGCAGAGAATGGGCTTTAACAAATGAAAATTGATTGCTGGAGTTCGGACATAAAAGTACTCATCACGAAGTTCTGATTCAAAAGGAAGAAACCAAGTGCCATTCATGCAATTTCGTTTCAACTGGTTGATATTTTTCAAGCTCAGTAAATTGACATCAAATCACGTCACTTAATTTCACTTCAACTAAAGATCTGAGAATGGCGTGCTGGTTAAGTGCAATCGAGCCCTCCAGCACACTACTTGTCAATTGACTCGATTTAGATAACACAGAATCAATCTACCTTCTTGAGTACCTGTGTACATGAACTTAGACACGAAGGAAAACAAGACAAATACCTATTGTTGCAGACTAAAAGGGATTGTGTGCTGAAAAGTAGGAGTCAGTGTTATCCACTAGCTAAGGCGGTAAACAATATTATTTAGAATTTTGTCAAATTTTAAATCATTTCCTCTTATTCATATCATAACAGAAGGCTATCCTGATTGCGATATGACAACTGGGGCCATTAGGAAAAAGGCCGTCAAAATACAGAATTATTCCCTGCAAAATCACAAACACAAACATGTTCAAATACATGGTAATAATAAATCCGTGACATGCAAAGATTCACTACCAACATGAAGATTAAAATCAAGAATAAATTTTTAAGTGAGAGGAGACAAGCTTCACACTTTCACAATATGCAATATAATGTAATGGAATAAGTACTTGTTCATCACCTTATGTTGTATCAAACATGTAATTATTGTATGGTAAATGCTATATATTATTTGCCTCAGCGACGACCAAGTATAGCATCCATAACAGTCATCACGGGCATATCAATTATTGTTAAACAGAGAGAGAAGCAGGCAAGTAACTTGTAATGATAGGCATTGTTTATACTGTAGTCAAGAGCATCACGTCCACATGTAAATACATAATAGCTATTCTAAATTGGAAATGAACATTCTCCACAGCGCAAGCCATGGTGATGTTAACCTCTGTAGATCATCCACATACCTGCACAATAGCTATGACTCCAAAAACCTGTGACCACTCCCTCTCTTTAACAGTTATGAATATTTCCATCTAAACAGCTACGTAATCAGATGTTAGAAAATCAAATCTCAAGTATGTATCATGGCAAAGGCTATTGTATCTCAAGCATGTTCAACCACAAAAAAAGGCCACAAACAAGAACCACATTCATTCACCAAATTTTAAGCACACAAGTATTCAAATCCTTGTGAGTTATGAAATAGCTTAGCATAGTCATATAACAAAAATCCATAAGTTTTCCCTTCAACATGACATCCTGCAACTTCTGAATCTTAACAGATTCATATGATATATGGTCTCTTCAAAATCAAAAGATTTATGCTAATAAAGGAAGTAATACTCCAGCAATTCACAATCAGGTAATGCCATTACATCATGCCAGAATACCCTGCAAAAAATATAAAAATGAAATCAAGAATTATGAAGACAGATCTATAAGTGGAGGCATTCGATGATAATGTGAAGTAGTGGCATTATTGGGCTGAGATCCATAAACTTATTGAGACAAGCTTGAAAGGAGATTTGAGTGGAGATATTCAATGACAATGTGAAGTAGCGGAATTATTGGGCTGAGATCCATGAGTTTATTAAGACTAGCTTGAAAGGAGATTTGATAGCCATGTTTTACATGGAAATAAGATGAATGAGAAACAAAAATGAAACCACAAACAAGCTGACTGGAGGATTTCAGGGTGAGGTGAGGAGGCAAAAGCAATGGGAAAGCATTTACACTTAAAATCACAAAGCAGCAGCAGTAGCAGAATATTTCCGTTTACACTTAAAATCACAAAGCAGCAGCAGCAGAATATTTCCATTGACAACCCACATGTTCAAATGGCAAACACCAAACATCATTCCAACGCCCACATTGAAATCCAAGCACCCAAGTACAGGTACAAAAAGCATTTATATTAATTATACCAAGCAGCAGCATCAAAATTCTATTGTCAAGACAAAAATTCAAGTGGTGAACAGAAAAGATCAATCCCACTCCCACAGGCAAATTCAAGCACCCAAACATAAGGGCAAAAACATTCATACTAATCACCAAGCCACATCATCAAAACTGCACTGCCAACCCAAAGATTCCAGTGGCAAGCACCAAATATCAATCGAACTCCCATAGGTAAATTCAAACACCCAAATGTAAACATGAAAAGAAGTAGAAAATACCTATTCACCGGTTTGCATTCAGTGCCAGAAGCATGTTGTTACCACCAGGAAGGTATGCCACATTGGGTGACTTAGCCAGAGTTGAAGCGATTTCCCTTGATGCTTCAATCCTTCTCAATTCAATGAGCCCCATACCAGCTTTTGTTGTTGCCTCAGAGATCAGCTTAGCAGCATCACTCTCACCTTCTGCCCTGATAATTGCAGCCCTTCTCTCCTGGTCAGCCTTCATGACAACAAACTTGGACCTCTCTGCCTCTTGCTGCGCAACCTGTTTCTGCTCTACAGCCCTTGAGAACTCCACTCCATAAGACAAGTGGGTAATAGCCACATCATCCATCACTATGTCGAAGTCCCTTGCACGCTTGATGAGTGCATCACGGACCAGAGCTGACACCTGAGGACGCTCAGTGAGGAGCTGATCAGCATTGAACTGAGCAACCACAGCCTTCAACACCTCATTGCCGATCGAGGGGAGCACCTTCTCATCATACTCAAGCCCAAGGCGTTGAAAGATATGAGGCAAACGTGACACCTGCTTAAATAACCATTTTTCAGTAAAAAATATACACAAAACAAAAATACAATCATACAAATTGACCATGTAAAATCCTGATTCAGTCTGATTTTAGTAAAAGAAAAGGAGTAAAAAAAAACAGAAGACTTCAGTCCTCACTCAATCTTCAGAACCAAAATCCCAATTCATAATTTAACAGCCCAGCTAAACAATACAATGAAAAGATAAAAAAGCCTCTTTCTTTTTGCTAGCAATCTGAACTAAAACCCCATCTCCCTAACTTCTGCTAGCTCACTAAACCATATGAAACGCATATTAAAAACAAAACAAAAGCCCTCCAAAAACCCATCACAAGGACAAACCCAACAACTAAGCAACATGACAATCACAGACAATTCATCTCCTTTATGTGCTCAATAGCTAAACCAATTAAAACCCATCTCCAATTCACCTGACATTTGTGCTACTTAACTAAACCATGTCAAAGCACACAAAAAAAAAAAACCACCTGAAAAATACAAAGAGAAACAACAAAGCTATACCTTTACAAAACCATCAAATCTAGCAACATCCATTTCCGTTCATTTCAATCAAAAGCAAATGATTTCGTTATTACCTCAGGACGAGAGAGAACACGGAGGGTAAGATTGACCATCTGAAGATCCTTAGTACCAGAGACAGAAGAGAAAGTGTGAGGTCGTGTACGGATGTCAAAGATAAATGGCTTTTGAAGCCAAGGGATGAGGAAATGAGTCCCTTCACCAATGCTAGTATCAATTACTCCACGGAATCTGTCAAAGAGAACAGCGCGTTGGCCTCCATCGACGGTGTAAAGAGAGGAGTTGAGAATGGTGGCCGCGGCACCAAGACAAAAAGCTGCGCGAGCGACGTTGTTAAGGAAGGAAACTGCTGCTTGGCTGCTACCCATCGTTGAAGACGTGAAGTAGGTGTTTTGCGGGTCTTAGGGTTTATGACAGACGTGACTTTGAGGAGAGGAGAGGTTTTAGCATAAATGAATGGGGCGGGTCGGGTTAATTATGTTTGGGTTGCTGCTTGCTTGACAAGTAAAATAAAAATATATGTTTTTTTTTCTTTTTCAGTTTTATTTATTTATTTTTGATAATATGAAATTATTTATTGTGTATTTATTATGTGATATAACATGTTTTTTAAAAATATTTTTTATTTAAAAAATTATTTTTTTTTATTTTTAACATCAATATCTCAAAATTATTAAAAAACATTAAAAAATATTAATTTTTTATTTTTTAATATATATATATATATAAAAGTGCACTCACCATTAGATAGCATCGTCGATTTGAATTTGATTTAAATTCTTGAAAAATTTAACTATTCTGACATAAGAAGAAACAATCGATTGACATCTTTTTTTTTATAAAAAAAACTTTTTTAATAAATAAAAACTCACGAACCCACGAATAAAAATTCACTGTTAGAAAAATAGAAAAATAGAAAAAAAAACTTTTACATTACAATAAATTACAGGATCAATAAAATTAAATCTAATCTTTTCTTTGAAGAGTAAAATTATATAAATAAACTAGAGATATTGAATTGATCTATAAAATTTTGCTTTTTTAAATAAGTTTTTATTTTTATGAATAACACACATATACACTTTATGTTTTTTTAAAAATAAAAAAATTAACATTGTTAATAATATATATATATATATAAAGCGTTTGTGTTATAAATTATACTCTAGTTGTTAAAACGATCATGGAGTGTGTTGTTTCTTTTTAAAAAAAATTGCCTGACCCAGGCTATTAAATTTGACAATGACACTAAATTCAATCCTATTAAAAATAATTATTTAAGAAATAATTTAAATATTTTTTTATAAAAAATAAAAATTAATTATATAAAAATTAATTAGTATTTTCATTTAGGATACTTAAAAAATAATTTAAATATTTTTTTCATAAAAAATAAAAATATTTATAAAAAATTATTTATGATATTTCAAAGATAATTTAAATTTTTTTATAAAAAAAATAATAAAAAAATAATTAAAATTTTTATTTAGGACACTTCAAATGCAGTTGAAATATTGTTTTGTAAAAAATAAAAAAATAGTTATAAAAAAAAGTAATTAACATTTTTGTCTATGATACTTCAATTATAATTTTAATATTTTTTATTAAAAATAAAAATAATTTATAAAAATATTAATTAGCATTTTTGTCAATGATATTTCAAGGGTAATTTAAATATTTTTTAATAAAAAATTATTTATAAAAACATTATTTAGAATACTTTAAATAGAAAAATTAAAAAATTAAAAAAAATTAAAATTTTTATCTAGAAGAAGTATAGTTTAAATATTTTTTTATAAAAAAATTAATTAATATTTTAAATTTTTTTTATAAAAATAAAAAAAATTAATTAGAATTTTTGTTTGCTTCAAGAATAGTTTTAATATTTTTTATAAAAAAATATTTTAATTTTTTTAAAAATACATTAAGAATAATTTAAATATTTTTATATAAAAAAAATTAATTAACATTTAAGTTTAAGTTTATAATTCTTTAAAAATATTTTAAATATTTTTTATAATAAATAAAAATAAATTACTAGACATGATCCTTAGACTCCTAGCTCTTAGGTCTCCTAGGCCATTAGATCCAAGATTATTAGATTTGGCTATACCACTAGATTTAAAAAATAAATATTTTTTATATTTTTAAGATTTTTTTATAAAAAAATATTATTTACCTGCTATAGCAAGGGTTAATACGCTAATATGAATGGGTGTGAACGTGTATATATTATTGTTTCATATTATTTGAGGTGAAAAGTATAAAATCCAGTGGAAGATATTCATGGTCATATATACGTATGCATGTATGGATTACAAAAATACGCCCCTCAGTTAGGAAAACATGCTAGCAGAAAGTTGAGGCCCATTCGTTTCCAATGGAATAGGTTGGGCTAAAAGCCTCTGATTAGAAGACTCAAGGTGGGCTTTGTAAGCTTAGTGAACCCAGATTAAACGCCATCGAGCATCAAGAGCTGGTTAGGGCTTCTTCTCTTTCCTCAGTCACCCTCTTGGCATCGACGGCAACTCTGTCAGAAGATTTTGATCTCCTCTACTGGCACTACCAGGTACCATTCTACTTTACTGCTGAGTTACTTAGATTGGTGCTTAGTTATTATGATCTTGTGCTTCTCAGCATTCTAAATGAATTTGGATGCTTGCTAGAGATATACTTGGGGTTTCTATAGTGGTAGAAATGGAAAAGAAGGGTTTTTTTTTTTCCTTAGGAAACTAAAATAGGGGTTTTATTTTTCATCAAAGCAGCATCCTAGCTAAGAATTTAGGAGGGTTTGCAGTTCTTGTGTTGTGTGATAAAAAAAAGGGAAAGAAAAATACTGAGCAACCCCTTCTTTGTAATTCCATAGCTGCAGTTTGAATATTACGTCTCCCTTCTTTGCAACCACTCTGAATGTATGCAGTAGTAGAAAAATGTAATTGAGGCAATTATAGATTGTACTTGATAAAGGGAAATAACCATTTTTTAGAGAATCTCTGTTTTTAATTCTTTGTAATTTGATTTTTTTTTAATCTGCCTAGAATGTTCCATGAACTCCTGTGAGAACGTGGGAATTGGGTTTGCACTCGGATTTTATCATGAATTTAAGTTGGCATCTATTAAGTAAAACAAATACCACATTGAGTAGAAGTTAGAGATATGCTAAATTGTGGTTTTGTGAAAGTGTGTACTTATATATGAATGTGAATGAGATCTTATTTGTTTGGATGTTTTTCTCATTGTGCCTCTGAAAGTTGGTGTTGCGGGGTTAAAGTTATGGCAATGAACTGCATTAAATCTTTGAGAGGTATCGTGATTACTAAGGAGGCAGTGGGGATGGTGGATCGACGAACATTTTCTGCTGGGGCAAAAAAGAAAGGTGGCAAAGGGGGAGCAGCAGCTGATGCTCCAAAAGCATCATCGCTGGGTAAAGAAGTCAAGTCTACAACTACAGTTGGTGCCAATATTCTCAAGGATGGAACAGATCCCAAGGTCTTGGACGATTCTGAATACCCTGATTGGCTATGGCGATTGCTTGATAAACGTCCAGCATTGAGCGAGCTGAGACGGAAGAATATTGAAACTCTCCCTTACGAAGATCTCAAACGCTTTGTCAAGCTGGACAACCGGGCAAGAATCAAGGAAAATAACTTTTCTAAAGCCAAGAACTGATAGAAATAAATCCGTAAAAGATATATTGTCTCATTGTTAAGTACGATCCATCCTTCTCTTCTTGGATTCCTTGATGTGATTGAGTTGCGTGAAAAATGATGAAATGGAACTCGAGGGATGCATAAATGTTTTGACATATGTATGTAGTACCTGCCCTAGTACTTTATCTTTTATACTCTCTATCTTTTCATTGGAACATTTTGTGCTGTTTAAAAGAGCATAATCCATCATATTTAATGGATAAAGGATTTTGATTGTTGACTCGCCACTGTTACAACCTCTTCCATGTTTTTTCTTTTACTTGATTGCTATAATGAGGTTTCTTCCTGAATAAACGGAAAGAAATTACAATGAGACTACTGTATATTGGCTTTTTATTCTTTTCACCAGACAGCAGTGCCTCATTGCTTGGTCAGAGAATTGCAACCTCGACTTTTAACTGTTTCACTTTATGAAGTGATTGCCATATACCGTGTTTTGGTTAATTACAATGTGGGGTGGTGGTAAATTATGCAGTATCATGTCAGGATGCCTCGCAATTCAGCTGAGCCATGGACATGCATAATGAGTTTTTTCTTTTTCACATGTAGCATCACATTCAATTCGTGGCATGTGCGTGCTTTTGTAGTTTTGCAGAGCAGGACCCATTAGGCATATGGTATGTTTAAATTGCGATCAAGTATGATGTTCAGATTGGGAAACACTTTCAAAAACCTCTTGCTCTGCTGAACTAGTTTGAAGCCGGACAGAAGTTTTGGCCTAACATACGGAGCCACCCTTTCAGATGGGAAGCAGTAGCTTTCATCGGTTGTTGGGTTCCCACCTGTTTGTTTCTGCATCAACATGAAAAATAGGAGTAGGGTTTGCTTCAACTCATGCAATTCAAGTTCATTGATTTATACAGCTGGGCCCAAACATTGCCATTGAACTTGATAGGTGGAAGCCACTTCTTGTTGCCTTCCTACCCAACTTAGCAGAGGTGATTCTATCCTTTTTCTATCAACTTATACGCCGAGTGGTGCATGCATATCCCTTTTCTCTTGAATCATAACTTGGTGGCCCTTCTTTGATAATGAATTGGTGTACGACAGTATTGAGATTTTTATTATTTGCCGAACTTTTCCTGTTGCATAATGTAGAGAAAAGTGTGATATTGGAACAGGTAATTATGTTCACAATAATCCTTTAATCTTTATAATCTAGTGGCCCAGGTATGTCGTTGGCCCTTGTCCTTTTAGTTGTGTTTGAAAATGTGATTGAGTATATTTTAAAAGTGTATTTAGCTTGATAAAACATTACATTAATGTTTTTTCTGTGTTTTCAATTAATATATAATTTTAATGTATGAATATCAAAAATAAAAAAATTATTAACGCCCCATCCGGAATTTATAAATTTTTTAAAATATCTAGCACGGCTATGGACTGGGGACCAGGCTGTTGTGATGCAATGGAGATTGCCATGCCTTACTTTTATGCCATGTGAAGACGAGGTTGTATCGTAGACAACGCAAGAAATAGACCAGTGGAAGTAAGAGCAGATGAAAAGAAAAGGTCGGGGAAGCAAGAAAATGATACGAGCAAGGAACTGATACTTGACAGAACATGCATTATTGTGGTTAAATAAAGATGGCAACCCACCCTCTGTACAGACCCTTGAATTATGGCACTCCAAAAAGTTAAAGCTGCCTCTCTCACATGGCCATCTTCGCTTTTAGAGTTGATGAGTGATCAAGTAGTTGGACTTGGAACTTTCATGGAACCTTGCCATAACAGCTCACCAAATCTCAAACGAAATCCTTGCATGC